TAGGTTTGGGGTCTAGATATTGATAGTAGACTATGAAGGTATTTTAGTATAAACCACATTCAACACAAGCTGACTTAAAATCTATTATAGATCAAGATACATTTTTGAAAAATATCCTAAAGTTTGTCACAACCCAAATTGGAGGGAAATGACGGGCACCTGGTGCCTTACTCAACCGAGTACAAACGTAACGTATTTTTCTTATCATACCATCATGGGTAGATGGGCCAGAAGGGCCATCATGAGATAATCAAAATAAAACATAAGGAATTACTCGACAAAGGACGACCCAACATGATATACAAATTTATACATGTGACATACGGGCCTATAAGGTCGACTTGAGCATTGTCCACTCAAAATATAGGCCGACAAGGCCATACAAGTATCCATATACATGATATCTGTCTACAAGCCTTTAAGAGTACATAAACGTCATAAAGGTCGGGACATGGCCCCGTCATACTAATCATTACTTGTCCAAATCATACTGACCAAATAAGAAACTCCGGAGCAAGTGGAGTGCAATAACACCTTTCGTTGAGTTGATAGCCTACTAGGAGGACCGTCAACTTATTTATCGGGACCTACGGGCATGAAACACAGAGTCCTAGACAAAAGAGACATCAGTACAAATAAAGTACCGAATATGTAAGGTAGAAAAGCATAAATAAGAACAATAATCAAAGAGAGATAGAGAAGATACAACATGTAACATCTGAGTGCTTCTGAGAGCTACTGACATGAAATGCATGATACATAAACTTTTAAAAACATACGCCTCTATGGACATTATCGTCATCATATCGTACCCGACCGTAATAGGCTCGGTAAAAATGTACCTGGTCATCATAAGGCTTGGTTGAATCATACTCGGCCATGTGGAGCTCGATAAAATTCAACTAATCAGTGATTGCACAATAGGTGTTGTACCCGGCTGACTATAGCGCGGCTCGGTAGAGTAAAATAGATACATATATATAATGCATGTTGGATTCATGGAATCACATTCTAAACCTTTCAGGTTGACGTAAGATCGTTGCACCTTCGATTAAAATTATGGACATCCATTCATCAATGTGAACCTCAATAGGATTCAAGGATCATACATACATGCTTAGAATAACTTTATAAGGAAAGAACAACATGGACAACCTTAGTTGCTAGGAGTAGATCCGTTATGAAATAGCACATCATTTACGATCATTTCACTTTAGATCATGCCAAAATAAATAAGGAAGTTCCTTAACATACCTTTGCAATCTTCTCTCCAATTGTCAACCAAACTCAATATGATCTTCTTCAGTTTATAATGAGTAAACGACTTCGTCGTCATCATATAAGTGTTGTAACTCTCATATGTCAAAACTAATATTCCACAAGAAAATGGAAAGCACCTCCCCTGTTTGTACTACATTCCATAAGTAACTAAAAGTCACCAAACATACCAAACAACAATCAATAGCAATATGGAACACAACTAGCACAATAACACGTTGAGCGGCAAGCTCAGTTCATGTCTAATAATACTATATTTTGAATCCTTTCTCTCTTATTTATATTCAGAAAAATATTGATAATAACAACAAATATACTCAGGTTATTCTATAAATTTTCCAGCCATAAAACGTTGCAAGAACACCTCCCAAATAGTCCAACAATCAGCAATATTACTAACAAGCCTTTCGATCGATATGTCACAAATTCTAGCTTCAACGACTTAGCCATAACTTGGATAAGCTTAAATACATGTAGAGTAAGACATTCATTACCTTTAAACAGATAGAACAACTTCAATTTGAGCTTATTTCACCACGAAACATCCTTCTAACGCAGCCACAAGAACAAGGAAGTGAAACTAGCAATCAATTCGGTTTTCTCGGCACTAGAATCACTTTGGAAGACTTGAAATTACCTAGAGTTGATATGTGAACCTTAGGAGAGTATTTTAAATAACTTAAACCACTTTAAAAACTTCCCACACGAGTTGTAACCACATCAAAATCAGCAACCACAAGAAGAACAAGAAACATACTAGCGCCACGGGATTCCCGACACTTGATTTGTGTTGTTTACCCTTGGTTTGGGTCTTGGATCATGAGAGAAATTTAAGAGAAAGTTTTTAGATATATAAGGTCTTAAGAGAGTGAAAATAATGAGTTAAAACAAGCTTTAGGCATCACACACACACACACACACACACACACATATATCAAGATGTCTCAACCGCCTAAGTGAGTCCCATAGGGAGTTGCTTGCGCAGTCTCGCAAAAATACGAATATCTCTCTACTCCGATATCGTATTAACAAATGGTTTAATGTGCTGAAAACGAAACTTGTAGATATTCAATATGATATATGGATCATCCCGTAATTCGAAGTATATTGGGAGAAAATCTCAGCTAAATTTGACCTAAATTTCAGCATATTTATGAATGTAACTTATGATGACGTTTTCCAACTTTTGTTCCACAACTCGCTTGACTTAAAAACATAATAAATGACTATCAGACGACTAAAATAGCTCATAACATAACCTCCTTATTATGTTGAGTACCCTAGTCTCACCCTAAAAGTACATGTTATGACATTCCCAACTTGTCGACTGCGAAATTTATTTTCTTCAATTCGTTTAGCTTCTAATCCTTCTAATCCTCTTGGTAGTTGTTATTCATGATCTTAAATATTTGTAACCTCCAAGGTAACACGAGTAACATACTTATATTCTCCCAAATATAATCTCATTTTTGAGCTTACATCAATCAACTTACGGCGAACTCTCACGTACGAAAATATGAGGTGTAACATCATTCCCCCCTTTTGGAACATTCGTCCTCGAATGTTGACTGATGCACTTATCAGTATGATAACTAATAGATTTTATAAATACTATAATATTGTCCTTGCCATCTAGGTAATTGTTCTGTAAATAAATCCAAAGGCCAGGGCATTCCCCGCTTTAGGCCTCTTTCGCACACCACGATTTGTGGTCGGAATTCTTCTAATTTTGTAACTGTTGCTACCTTATGTCATGCAGTCTGTATGACTCTGTCCTTGTATGTGCGCCTCTTATATCCTTTTTCCTCCTACTTTTATCCAATCTCTAGGCCTCACTTTGTGAACATATACAGAACAATGACAAGTTGTTCCTCTAGGCATCTATAGGTGTACTGAAATTCTTCGC